TGCGGAATGGCGCCGTGCGGCTGATGGAGCAGCAGAGCCGTGGCCGGAGCCGGGGCCGGGGGGAGGTTTACATGGCCCCCAAGCCCCGGAAGGGAGGAGAGAGGAGGAGGCAGCGCAGGAAGAAGAAACCCTCCGGCACGGCCCCGCCACTGCGGAATGGCGCCGTGCGGCTGATGGAGCAGCAGAGCCGTGGCCGGAGCCGGGGCCGGGGGGAGGTTTACATCGATGGCGAGTGGGGCACGGTGTGTGACGATGGCTGGAACTCAGCCGCTGCCGCTGTGGTGTGCCGCCAGCTGGGCTTCCCCTACGTGGTGCGGGCCACCAAGAAGGCAGAATCTGGAGAAGGGACCTCCCTTCGCATTCTCCTGGATGATGTCCAGTGCTCCGGGCAGGAGAAGACACTGCTGGAGTGCGCCCACGCTGACATTGGCACGCACAACTGCTCCCATGAGGAGGATGCCGGTGTGGTGTGCAGCCAGGAGGAGGTGGCGGACTGGTGACAGAGGAGCTGGCGGGACGCGGAGCACAGCCCCTTCTTGCCCGACCCTCTAAACCAATGTTAGTACTGAGGAGGGTGCGCTCTGCCTTGAGGATGCTGTGTCTGTTTGAAGGAATCTTGCTGTTCTCTTCATGTTCATCCCCATCCATCTCCCTTGGAGGGAAAGAAAAAGTAAAATGAAGCAGGGACTTGAGGATGTCATAGGCAGACACTGCATTTGTATGGGGGTTTTTTATACAAAGAAAATCCCAACATCAGTGCATCCTGTTGCTCTTTCACCTTTCAAAATACAACATTCCCCAGCTGTGCTTCACAGAGTTTAGCCAAAAAATAAATTCTCAAATGACCACGCTTAGCTCTTGCTTGTGGAAGCGTTTGTGTTGTTTGGCTTGCTTTGCCACCTGCAGCTCCACATGGTGGTTTCTAAGTACGTGTAAATCTGGGCCTTTCTTTGCAAAAAAGTAGAATTTTTGGTTAACTTTCCATGGACTAGTTTGAAGGAAAATTATTCTTCTCTAATGCTTTATGTTGGTATAAGCCTACTGGTTATCAAAGATAACTGCATCTAAGTAAAATCAGATACATTAGAAGAAGTCATAGCATACTGCCTCGAAAATATTTATTCAGTTTACATTAGCCTAAGTGAAGAGAAAATTTGGCCTTTTTTATGTAACAGGATCATTATCCAATTTAACCTTGAAGATCCTTTTTACAAGTTTTTCCACTTTCTCAAACATTGTGAAGCCACATGTTTTTGCATTCAGTTTTCACAGGTGTGAATGACTAGACAAAAGGCAATGTCCTGGGGTAATAATCCTGTAATATTTACCCCTTTTGAAAGGATATTAAAAAAACCCAAAACTCATTTTGTCTGAAATGTGTTTTTCACCCAAGTGGTGATTGGAGACACATGTTCTCCTCTTCTGTTGTCTCTCTGCACTTGATAGCATTTTGACTGGTTCAGTCTTTCCTGGTGTAATCGGGATAAGTTTTATCTTGCTGCTCGCACAAGAACATGAGAAGGACAAAAATGAAGCAAGTGTAAAATGATGAGCGCATCCAGAAAAGTTCACAAGCAAAACCTTGTATCTAAAGCTCTTCCTGTGGTTGTTTATTTTAATTTCACAATTAGTAGTTGACAGTGTTCTCTTAAGCCTAAAACATTGATGTATATGGTAAATGAGTTTGGTTTTGTGTTTTCTGAACCTTCTGATATACCCATTACATACAGTTTTATATTAAAGAATACCTTCACTACACAAAAACAGACGATCAGAAAAATAGCACCATCTTCTACTTCTTCTGAAGTATAAAGGAGAGAGCAAAATACTACTCTTAGTTCATTGGAAAACCTACAAATGCCATCAGGCATCAGAGTGTCATTAGGCTTTTCCCATTGCAGTGAAGGTGCAAAAGCATCTGTTTAAAGTGCAGAAATTCACTTCAGGCACATCAAAACGTTCAGGAAACAAGAGAGCCCTTTGTAAATTTTTCTGTTAAAAGAGTTGGCACTTGTTGAGCTGATGGGACTCGAGGGTTGGAAGAAAACAGAAAGTAGAGATACAATCTTTCGTCTTCCAAATTCCTTTTCCACTTCTTTTGTCTCCTTAGACAAATTTCAGCGAGCTCTAGGTGTGAGATTTTAAGGAGAGAATCCTGATTGTAGTTATACTGAAAAACTTCTGGGTAGAGAAAAGGCCTGCACAACAGAAGTTACTCTAAATTGAGATGACTGGAGGATGTCTGCCATAGGCCAATTAGACATTAGGAGTTTTACAATTTTTTTCCAGGTAGTGAAGTATTCTTTTTCTGATGTAACAATTAGTTACCCTGTGCCTGCTGTGGCCTGTTTGAGCCTCCTGAGGCCACCTACTTTTTTGCATATTGCTGGTGGTGACTACCACCAACCCCCGTCTGACAGTCACTTAGTGGCACGCAGTCTCTGGTGACAGCTAAAGGCATATAGAAACCAGCCCATGAGGAGCAGCCATCGGGCAGAGTGAGCTGTGCCATGGCGCAGCTGACGGCAAACACAGAGCCATACACTCCCTGTGTGTGCTGCCGGCGTTACATGGGTGCTGCAGCCTTCGCATGGGAAATATTTATCAGCAGAGGAAGAGACAAGACTTGTAAATAAGTTTTTTCCCCCTTACCCTTTCTCCCAACTTACAGTGAGTGAGGAAAGCATTCAAGCAGGTGCCTGCCAGCTCAGTATGCATGGATGTGTGTGCATGGCTGTACCTGCCAGCTCAGAACGTCATTATAATGCTGAGAAGACATTTGTGACCATTGTGGTCTCTTCCAAGCTTAAAACATATCTGTCAGTCTAGTTTCCTGATATTTAAATAATGAACCTGTACTATTCAAAGCACAGAAGTACATGTGCATTTAAAGACCTGATCATCTGCTGTTTAATAGGATTCTTAATGAAAGTTTTTTTCTTCATTTTAAAATGCACTTATATAACAGGATGTCACACAAATTGAACTTTAGATAAACTGATAAACCCTGCTGCTACATTTGACCGTGCCAGTATACCACCTGGATGCTGATTGAGGATAAAGATCTTAAAGTAGCCCAGAATAATGCTGGTTACCACCGTGCAGCTGCTCTTATAGAATCATAGAATCACAGAATGGTTTGGGTTGGAAAGGACCTTAAAGATCATCAAGTTCCAAGCCCCCTGCCATCGCCAGGGACACCTTCCACTAGACCAGGTTGCTCAAAGCCTCATCCAGCCTGGCCTTGAACACCTCCAGGGATGGGGCATCCACAACTTCCTTCTTCTGCAAGTATTGCGTGGCAGTCCCAGACTTTTGTCTAGTAGCAATGTGGTTTATTGCCTTCTCTCCTGATTCGCCTCTGTGACTGAGAGTGGAGCATCTGCATTTTCCCTTATACATTTTCCTTTTCCTTATGTTAGCACAGCTGTATCACATGGAGGACCCAGCATACCTCTAAGGGAACAGTGTGAGACCCAGCCTTGCTACCTCTTTTTCTCTACGTCCAAGGCAGAGTAGCTCTGTGCAGAGCTCAGGGGTTTTTCCACTTATATTGTTTCTGGTACCCAGCAGACAGCCTGAGCACCACCATGCTGTGTTGCAGTCTATGCTATAGACATTATCTTCAGGCCAAAATAATTTGAACTTACCATGTTCTTTCCAAGGCATCCAATAGACAAAGTCTCCCACAAGTATATGGGAAAAAGAGATCAGAACTTGCTGCCAAAGCAATGGAGAGAGAGTGAAATAGTTAGGGCATTGCAGCAGGGATGCTCACTCAGATTGTGGCAAAACCCTGCTGGGTGCTGAGCCCTGGATGGAGCATGCCGTGAGGGTGTCCCCATATATGGGGAGCTTGGGCTCTGCCCAGCATCTTTGTGCCAGGCTGCAGGGTATGAGCAGCACGAGGCACACTTATTACTAAGCACAGTGGCCTGTAATAAGTAACACTGAAGGCATGACTCAAGTACAGAAGGCTCGGTGGTGGCACTGTGGGCGACACTGTTGAGCGTGAAAGCCCAACTTCACATGCTGCCACAGTGTTCCTCCCGCCCTCATGTCCCCTGACAGCCTCTCCCCCACCTCTCACCAGTCGGCACCTTTGTGTTGGGCCTCAGCATGGCCGAGGAACAGCTTGTGCACTGCTGGCCCACAGCCCAGACCCAGCGAAACACTTCCAGGAATGCACCAAGCAGAGCCTGCCTCTCCTATAGCCTGTTAGCCTTGGTGCGGTTGTATGGCGGGGTCCCCAGAACAAATCCGTCCTGCAGTGTGGGAGCTCAGCCCAGGACTGTTTGGCTGTTATCAACACAGAAATTCAGAAGTGCAGAGTAGAAACCCTGTCACAACATACCAACATCCAAGCATGCTTTTTGTCTCTGAAAGATGCCAATAGACCTCTTTAATAGGTCAGCTTGGCCTGCAAGATGCATTGGCCCCCTTAGATACTTTCAGACATAAACACACATTTTTCTGTATGAAAAGAGGTGCAAGCATTGTTGGATAACTAATAACTGCATCCCGAATTCAAGTTTTAAGACTTCATAGTTTTTCCTTTGTTAAACAGGTAAGACCCCAAAGCCATATGACATGTGTCAATACCTTGCTGCCTTGTACGTGACTTTTCCAAGGTTTTAATGTCTAGACTTTACCCTGGGGCACAGGTTCAGCTATAGAGCTGCCTTGAGCAATGTTTTAATGTAGTCAGAGAAGCAGCCACAATGGAAATGGAAATCATTGCTTAACAATAATGCAGTAAATAGGGATGCTATTTTTAAGGGAAAAAAAAAAGTCTCTAGCGTTCAGCCAGCTGTAAGCACTGACATCGAGTAGCTTCTTCCTCAGAGACATTAGCTGTGGGCAATGACTAAACCCTTGGACTGTTCTCATTATTATTAACTATCTTGCCAATTACTTGCCCACTCCATGCTGGAAAATTTTATTGACTGAGAAGGATCATCTTTCTTCTTCCAGTCCTTATGGACCTTGGTATATATGAGTTGGGTGACACCAACGCAGGGTGAAAATCACTACAAAGGTCTGTATTTGGCAATGTTGGATAAGTAACATTTAAGCCCACTGTTTTGCAAAGGTATGGTTGACTCCTGTAACCAGTGCAGCTTCATCTGTGGCAAAAGGTCTGGGTATAGGTCAGCTTATTTATTACGAGCAGTTACTTTTTCTGAGAGTTTTCCTGTCCACATCTGCCAAGTGCGGACAGGAGACAACAGTACAACAGTGCATGTCAAGCTTGAGCAAGGTGGCTCTGATGGCCTTGAAACGTGACAAGGTCCAGCACCTTCTTTCCACACAGCAAAAAGTTTTATCCTGATCAAGTCAGGACATGATGCCCCAAACCCAGAAAAGATTGGAGCATATTTGGTTATCAGTACCCCCAAATGAAGGATTTTTTTTAAATTTTTTTTTTTTTTTTGCCTGGTAAATGAAGGGGCACCAGCAAACTTTTCCTGGGATTGGAGGGCAATGAGGTGTGTGGTCC